CTTGCAACAATATGACAATTCGTTTGGAAGAAGTTTCATTCATGTACAATTCAGCCGCCAATGGGTCCTCGACTCTGTGGTTGGACGTCTGGAAATCAAACATCTCTATTGTAGATTCTTTTTTCGTTGGTAACTCACTTCATAACAAGAGATTTTATTACGGATTGGCAATCGCACACATTTCCTCAAGTTTCCTCGGTTTATTTGTTATTAGAACCCTCATATCTGGAAATTATGCAGAACGTTGGGCAGATAAAAACAAAAGACCGTTTCTTTTATTTATATACTCTGGGAGTCATATAGAAATAAATATTGATGGATTGCAATACAAGAATAACAAAGACAGTGGGATTCGTATTGAAGTGAGTGATCTTCAAGGTCTCACATCACATACTGTTTCAATAGCGAACGCACATTTCAAAAACAACGAACTATTCTCAATAAATTTCACGGTAAGAGGGAATTCGTTGGTACAAATTAAAAACACATCATTCAGGGGAAACGCATATTTAAGTTCAAATGTACCACTATTTTCTTTCTACTCTCTAATTCAGGGAAACAACATAATGATTGAAGATGCCATCTTTGAGAACAATACATCGCCAGGGGTAATTGTACTGTTTCAATTTCCTCCCGATAATATAGATCGTAAGGCTTGTAATTGGTATGATTACAAAAACGAAGTTCGACTGACTAACGTATTATTCCATAAGAACAAAGCCTTAAATCCCTCTATTATACGACTAGAAAGTGGTTGGAATGTTTTCAGCGAATGTCAATTTGTTGACAATGATGCCTCTTATACTGTTTTCGTCGGAGAAAGCTCTACTAATCTCGACCTGATTGACACCTCTTTTCATAAGTCTTCACAATGGGAGGAGACATTTAGCGGCTTTATATACTTTGCAAGTAGTGGGCCAATAAAATTGAAAAACACGACTGTTAAAGCCAAACCGTTTCAGGATATTGACTCGTACTTTATGGTAACTGGCTCAAACTCATCAAATATTGATAATTCGTCGATCATTCAGTGCCCAATAGGAACGTTGCAATCCTTAAGGAACTTCACACACCTTCGTCTGAATTCAAATGGTTACTGCCAACTCGAAATATACGAGACTATAGCTCAATCCTTTACTTACTCTTGTAAACGATGTCCTCCTGGATACTACAGTGTTGAACCATCTGGTAAAAGTTGTCGGCCCTGCCCTTATGGTGGGAATTGCACAAGGAACATCGCCGCCAGCCCAACATTTTGGGGATTTCCTTCACTTGATGACCACGGATCAGTTAGCTTCCGACAATGTCCTACTGACTACTGTTGTCCATATCGAAATGTTAGCTGCAAGTACGAAAACCAAAGATATTTGGCGAGTGGGTGTTCTGGAAATCGCACTGGTGTCCTTTGTGGACAATGTAGATCTGGTTATACAGAAACGCTCTTTTCTGCAAAGTGCCGAGAGAACAGCAACTGCAAAGATTATTGGTTCTGGCCAGTCGTTTTGTTATACAGTTTTGCGTTTAGCTTCTTCCTTCTTCGAAAGTCTTCAATCATATGTTATGCCCGGCGGATTTTACCATGGGCCCGAAAGAGAGCAGCTGTCAGTGATTTGACATCGGATGGCAGTGGATACGTCAAGGTGATTTTCTACTTCTACCAAGTCGCTGGTTTAGTATTTGTATCTAAAGACAGCGAGATGCATCTGGCAGAAAACTACTTATTACTCCCTGTGATGGGGTGGTTCGATTTCAAAGCAATTGGCTTAAAAGGCGGTTTGGTTTGCCCATTTCTCGGACTAACAGTTGTTTCAAAGATGTTCTTGCAGGCCTCTCAAGTGTTTGCCGTACTCTTTGGTGTCCTACTCATTTTCGTCGTCAATGGAGCTAAAAGAAAAATACAACGAAAACGTCCTGTCTTCCCTCCCGCTGATCAATACCTAGCTGCCACAATAGATTGTTTGCTGCTAAGTTACTCAACATTAGCGCTAACGGCTCTCAAGGCGCTGAATTGCGTTCCCATTCAATCAACATCACGGTTATTCTACGATGGGAATATCCAGTGCTGGACTTGGTGGCAGAAACTATGCGCGGTCTTTATCTTCATGTACATTGTACCGTTTGTTTCAGTTTTGTATAGCGGATCTAAACTGCTCTATAGTAAAGAAATTTCCACGAAGCGGTTCTTGTATGCTTGTTTGTGTCCCTTGCCGTTCGCCATTTGGTGGATGGTTTTTTGCAAGAAGATTCCACCTACTAATGCAGAGACCCACCGAGTTAGCGATGAACAACTGCCTTTGCTACCTCCACGTGCTCGTTCCTCAAGAAACGATATACCCGTCCAGGATTCAACAGCGAAAGTTATTTACGGACCCTTTAAGGAATGTATCGACGGCCAGGATTCAGGAGCAGTGTTTTGGGAGAGTGTTCTCATTGCTCGCCGTCTGGTGCTGATTTCCCTGCACACTTTCATCGTGTTTCTCTTCATCCGGATGGTTTGCTTAAGCATCGCGTGTGCTTTTATTCTCGTACATCACTTGTGGAAAAGACCATTCAAAGACCCTTGGGTAAACCGTGGAGAGACTGCCTCGTTAGCCGCCCTTCTCGTCTTGGTGGTTATCAACATGGTGGAACTTATTTTCTCTTTCAGTGGTGGGACCATTTCAGAACAGGACCGCATATGTTTAGTGGTGTTAAACGTAGTTGAAGTAATAATCATAGGAATACTTCCTGTAGTGTTTGTTCTTGTCATTTTGTTTTCTCTCCTGTGGCAGCTTTTAAGGATCTGTCGATTCTTTTGCTTAATCTTTTGTAGATTATTTGTCACGAATAGATGCGAAAATTGAAATTGATGTGCATCATACCAGGCATCGTTTGATGATACTGTAAGCGTTTCATTACCTACCTACTGCCGTTAGCCTCTGTTATGAGCCCCGATAGTTTATAACGCCTTTAAAGTTCAGTAATACACTTAATTATCTACATGACTATCTTGGATAAGCTGGGGAAGACAACTTGTTTGTATCAAATTTTAATCTCACACACGTCACTTTTAAAATATACTGACGTCATTTGGTTGCTCGTATTGTAGAGAGTCAGTATAATTATTTGGCAAAAAACAACTGCAGCAAAGTTACATCACATGAATTAAAAAAAAATAGTCACGTGGAATACTTTTTGTATCAGTTGTTTTGTTCACGCTTAATCAGAGTTGTTTGAAAAAAAAAATGGAATTTTGAATTCCTTTCATACCATAGACCGCTTTTGATATAATCATATTAATTTTTTAACTGACTCAACTGGTATATCATGCATTGCCCTCACAACCTGCAGATTGAGCAGTTATCTGCTAGCAGGTAACTCAACAACCTGGTTTTCATAATTAATCAACTGAAGGCTCTTTGCCATTGACCATTGTATAGATAGTGAGAAATGAGAACGATCAAATTGAACAAACATCACAGGCGGAACAGTCCAGTTAATAGACAAAAACTATAAAGTACCCTAAAATCAAATCTGTACACTTATTAAACTATTATTCAAACGATTAAATTCAATATCAATATAATTCATTTCTTAAACAAGCAGTAAATTTATAGAGTTTGCCAGTTTAAGATTTGTTGTCAAAATAGTGTCTAGTGTCACACTCTATGCATGGTTGACCGGGGCGGGGTGCTGGCAGCGAGGTCTGGAACCGAGTTTACATGATTTGGTTGAGTGAGACTGAGTACAAATTTTCCTTCAAAACAAATATGGCGGAGAATGCAGACTTGGAAGAGCGATGAGTTTTTGGTCGGTCTTAGGTTTTCCTGCGTCGAAACATCAAGAAAGGGTTTCTATGAACTTTTTTAATGGACCTTTTGGACATCAGGAGGCGTGATGTGAACAGTTCATAGGGGACTTCATTTATCGTGATTCGGAATTCACTTCTCACTGTCGAATCGCTGCGAAAACGAACTTGTTGTTGTTGTTCGCAGCCCGTTTCACGCATGCTCGCTACAGTTCTCGAATGGTTGACAGATTTCTTAACTGGGGCGATCATGGAAAGCCGAAAAGCGGCAAGATCGAAGGCCGTTGCGAGCCCCCCCCTCCTCCATGTAGTTGACAATAGATACACAGCTTAGCAGCTCAGCGTATCAGCGTACGTAAGATAATCTAGTCACATCAATTTCATTGTATGTCTGAAGCATAGCACAATAAACCTGTTTAGCTTGTATGTTTTGTTTTCCCAATACAGGTCCCAGGGGAACTTGCCCCATTGTCTTTTCACAGTTAATCGTAGATGTGCTCGTAAATAAAACGAAATTTGAAAGAAACTGTTGCCTAGAGTATTACTACGTGACTTGTATTGGGAAAACAAAACATACAAGCTAGTGAGGTCTATTGACCTACAGCTGTAGGAAACTATAAACATGGTTACTTTTTATAGGCGAATATCAGCAAATAATATTTCAAATTAATTATTACTGAGCGTGCAATTTCTAATGGGATCTCCTGTCTTCAGAGGATGTCACTTAGTGCCATCTTTACTGTTGCTCCTGTATACTAGAGTAAATGGTGACACACCCCTTGGCTGTTACTTCAGTTTCGTCCTCATCTTGTGTCGGCTACAATTCAAGTTCTGTATACACAAGACCACAAGTCTGTGATGGAAAGAAAACAGGTCACGTCACGTTACGTCACGTTGCCATGGTAGCAAAATTTTTGGATGACAAAAAACCGATAAAGTCACTTTAAAGTCTATTCGCACTATTTCAAACCTCACCGATCTTGTTTAATTTCATTTAATTTGGCAAATGTTGGCGGAATTTTCTTTGGGACCGCATCTGTCGTTTTATGTCGTAGTGGTGCAACGACGGCACGGATATGCACAAAATAGCGTGATTCACGTGGAAAGTTGTTGTTTGTTGATATAAACATATTATTTTTTGCCGTTGTCCTTGCTGTCGTCGTCGTCGTTGGTTTTGTTGTCATCCAGAAGTAGTACACCGTAGTAACGAGACGTCACACTTCTCCTCTCTATTGCCAGACAGGTTATAGGATAACGTAGCGCACGAAAGTTTAGGTTTTCAATCTTTTTACCTTGTAAAATTGACTTTCATTTATCGGTTGATTACGCCCAATAGAGCGTTTATTCAAGGGAGACGTTTATTGGTAATTTTGTTTCCATGCATCTGCGACGTTTGATCGAGGGCGGTGTTCAATCGAATAAATACGGTATAGTGAACTTTTCACATGAAAATAAATTTTCATTTCGTTTTCATCTGAATAGTTATACACCGTAGTCTTCGGTTTGGAAACGAATTAAAGAACACTAGCGCGCTAAGGCTGCCTACACGTGCTATGGATTTTAAATATTCCACTGATTTTAAGAAAGACGAAAAAAATAATTTGTTGCCGCCGTGAGGTGAGCACTTCACTTGGTAATAAATTAGCAATTAATGAATGAGGCTGAGTATCTTATTAAGAATTATGGAGATCGAGTAGGGTGTTACGACCTCGACGGATAACACCCTTGCAGATCTCCATAATTCCTTATGTGATACGAAAGCCGAATTCAATAATTGTTTTATTATTCATTCAAATTAATTCCTTGTTTAAAAACATGGCTAAAACATGCTTACCTCCATCGATCCATCCATGTTAAGTTCATCTTCGATAGTGCACGTTTAGGTTTGTCCCTTCCCTTTCCTTGCTATTTTTTCCCCCAAACAGAGAGCCTGTTCACAGGGTACCATTCATATAAAACCTTGTTGGCAGTGTTTTCACATGGCACTTCTTGTAATTCAGCATTATACAAGACGGAAGTTTAGAACTTTTGTGAATTTTTACTGGCAGTAACACAATAACAGTTAGTGTTTAAAACTGCGTTTGTTAGATAAAGTCATTCTTGACTAGCAGTCTCTCTACATAGTAGTTTATTTGACGAATACTGCTCTACATGTGTAGTAATTTATTATTGGAGAATGTCCCCGAGTGTACAAAGTCTTTCTAGCCACATGAATAATTATTCCAAGATATCTGTGAATAGATAGATTGGATACCTCTTGATAAATTTTCCCAGGTCAAATTCCATGGAAATACAATTGCACATTACTACGAAACATAACTCTGCAATTACCTCATCGTTAGTTTTCTTGGCCCTGTTTTTGTCAACAACCGCATACACGTTCTCCTTTTTCCTATCTGTGTCGTCTGAATGCTCCTTGGGCCTCTTGTATCTTACACAATATGGCGTGGGGTATAACGGTGGCTTTCGTTTCGAGTCTTCCTGTGTTGTATTTACATAAATGTGTTCTTTGGCCTTCAACAAAGGTTCCAATGTCGGGCACAATGTGACGACATGTTCGTCACTGTGTGGCATCGTTTGGCAAGGCATGTTGCTTGAGCTATGACCGTCTTTATTACCAGTCTTGTCGATAACTGCGTAGAGGTGAGGCCCTTCTATTGTCATCTCATCCGGTAGAGAACTAGAACCGGCGTTCGGAAGAAAATCGGTCTCATCGCACAAGGTTTGCCTTGGTACAGATGGCTCTCGTTCGATGTTGTCAACCTCATGACTTTCTTGCCGATCCCCTGCAACAAAAAATGATTAAAATGCGATGAGTATCCCGCGACTCTTTCTTTCTTGAGTTCGAATTACAGTTAACAATACAATAAACCAGAATAGCCAGTGAAAAATCTATTAAGCCTATAAGAGGACCCCTTTCGAAACATCGGATTCTTTTTACTCAAGCGAACTCAAAATGAATAACGTTGCGGGTGTATGGAGCCGAAAAATCTAGAAGATGAATTTGAAATAGTAAACCGACGCAAGTGCATCCTTTAATGTTGGAAAATACTGCAACACGACGGAACCCGAAAATTATGGCCTAAAGAGCTAGAGTTGTGTAATTCGTTTTCTCAGTACAAAAAATACCGGACTATTCTAGGGAAACATAAAGGGCAAGGACAGAGAAAGCAAAGATGACAGGGAGCTGTTAAGTATTAAGGAAGGAAGAAGGAGGGAAGAAAATACAATTAAGGATTTAATGTAGAAAGGAGTAACAAAAAAAGGAAGTGAAAAATTTGTACAATATGCCTGATCAATAGGCTACTTCCGAGTTAAAAAAAACCCTCACTTTCAAAATGAGGCTAAGTGTAGAACCTTTCTTGTGAAAATGAGTTTTATTTGCATGAGAATGAAAAATCATTTCATATGAAAGGCTGAGCACTTAACCTCGTTTTCATGCAGAGGCCCGGGGGAACTCGGAAATGGCCTATTGTCTTACTTGTTTTGGTGCAAATATAAGGTGCCTGCAGTCTCTTAGAGAGCCAAGTCCACAAACCAAGTACTCACCCTCTCCACCGATGACAGACAATCCCTCCCCCAGAGCTATGATATTGACAATACAATTCTCGTTGGGAGGGACAATTTTGACTTTGCACCGCTCTCTCACTAAAAACGCTAATCAATGTGTCAAAAGCTCCCTCTCCACCCCTCTACTTTTTGACACAGAGCAGGCAGCCTCCCACTATCCGCGGGCTAGTCAGTTAGCCCCCTTCATTTGTTCCGGCTAGCCAAGCTTAACATGGGCGGTGCCAGCGTTCAAGCAAAAACCCATTGGGCACTGTTTATCAAGTTCAGACAGACACTTATTAGCCTTTATGTAGATTAAATATTGTATTACATAAAGCCGTTTTTAACAAGAGTGACACGTTAAGTCCTACTGATCAAGAGCACTGGAATATTCGAAGTTTACAGGATCTTTTTTACCTTTGTTTTTATGGAATCTCCTTCGCCAAAGAATGAATCCTAAGACGATTAGCAGGACCACCAGCAACCCAGCTAGAGCTGTGGACACGATGAAAGTGATATTTGCTCCCTTACTGGGGCGATCAGAAGGAAACTCGACTTTTTCTGGTAGTAGGTTCTCTGCAAGTTAAGAAACCAGGGTCCTTCACTATGGAAAGTGTATCCTTTTACAACAATGTACTTCTATTGTCACAATTGGATGTGGATGCATTAGTCGTCTTCTCCTTAACCCTTTCACTGCCAAATGTGGCCAAAGGCAAATTTCGTTCTCTAAAATTTTGAGAAATAAATTATAATATGATGTGAAAGTACAGGCAGAGAGCTTTCACTTGAATGGTCACAGCATAGGATTTCGTCCACAGACTCAAAAGTTAGAGTCACTTTGCAAAACTCTATCAAACGCTCTGGCAGTGAAAGGGTTAAAGGAACGGCTTCCCAAACTCGTTTTGAGTACTGAGTGGCTCACAGCTACTAAATGAAATTCGTTTACAGGTTAAAAGTTGTCTATGGTATACCTTTCACACGTTCTTTACTCAGTACAACCTCCACTGTTATTTCAACCGTACATGTTCACTTGTCTTTTTTGATAATTGAAAACTAATTCAATCCAAAAAAACAACCTGGAAATCTATTTGATAAATTGTTTCAATTTGTTTTATTGTTCATGGGTCTAAGGGTCTTCGAATTTACCTTGCGTAGAACGTTTTGTAGTGGCCTTGGAACTTGGGGATTCTGTAAAAAATGAATAAGGAAAAAATAGCAGTAGTAGTACCAGATCTTTTGAGGTTCCTTCTCTTATTTATATCATAGCATGAAGGGGTCATGTCCCTGTTTCTTTTTCTCTAGCATTTCTCTAGAAAGCTCTTTATTTTATACATTATATATAGACATAATACTTTTTCTTTAAAAGGCTTTCACATTCTATAAACAATTGCATTTGACTTGTCTACAAATTTACCTTGCTTAGAACTTTTTGTATTAGTGGCCCTGAAACTTGATGGTCCTGTGAAAATAAGAATGGAGAAAACAACATTCTGTAGTCTTGAGATTTTCTCAGTGCTTATTTGTTATTTCAGTGTATAATAACAGTGGCTATGTGGTGAGTTTTATATTTGACTGAGTACATGTGTTTCTTCTTTTGTAGTTGGACTCACAATTATGGCGTTATAATTATATTTTAAACTTATTTTAGAAGTCGTTTTCTTTAAAAGGTCTTTTACATTTTATTTAAACATTCATATGCGTTCGTCACTTACTGTCATTTAGTTTAAACGCTGGGTATTTTCAACGAATTTACCTATTATTGAATGGCAGGAAAACGAAGTGTAGTGGCGGTTTGTGCTGTGGCTTGCTATTGTCACTTTTTGTGATGGAAAGCTTCCGCCAAGCAAAGGTAGTTAGTTGTTCAGACAACGAATTTGATACCCGAATCCGACCCTGGTAAGGCGCTTTACTCCACGTTGAAACGTTCACTTGGCAGAAGTTGACCTCAGAAAGGAGATGTGCGTGACACAAAAGTCTTCTAAAATGATTTAAAAAGGACTTTCGTCGCCGGTTAGAATACAAGTAGAGCCTCTTATAGCTACTAAGCCAGGTTTTGCAGTAGGCTCATTGTTCCATTCAATTATAAATGATGAATTTCCTGTGCAACTGAACGACCTATACTGAGGGAGTGCCCATCGTGTTTAGTGAAGTGCAAGAGAGGATAAAGGGGACAGAGAAGGCATCCCCCATACACACCCTATTCCATAGGTAATTCGTCTCGAGTTATTTTTAGAATCGGGATAAAGTTACCTCGCGCGCTGCGTGGATTTTTCGTGGAGGTTTCGCATGACTAAGCGCCATGCAAAACATGTCGGGCGAAAGGCAATGAAAGCGTAAAGAAATCAAGAGCATTTCTGAATATTGAAGCGAAATGAGTCGTCGCTCACCTGAGAAAAGGGAATCGCTCGACTCTTTGACAACCCGTGAAATCAGTTTAACTGGAAGTTATCGTAACCTCAGTGCTTTAATAAAATAAGAAATTTCGCCGGTCTATTGAAAACGGTCGTTTGTACAATAAAGCAAGTAGCAAGAAATATTTATGTACATGTAATTAGTTTTACAAATTTGAATTTTATTGTAGTTTTTTTAATTTGTTAAACGCTGTTGATCAGTGAATGTAAATAGCGCTCTAAAAGTTATTAAATTATTATTATCATTATTATAGGACGCCAAGTGTTACTTTTGTTGAATAATAAAAGACTAATAAAAGAATAAATATCAAACCAGAAATTGCTCTCTTCAAACTGTAAATTATAAATGATCCTGAGAGAATATTCAGCGTGTTAAGGATTTCCCTGCTGTACTGTTAGCTCTATACAAGAGAGGAAGGACGATTCTTTTTAAATTTCCGTTTCGCTGACACAGCTTTAGCAGAAAACTCTTTTTAGTCGTTTTCGTCGGCAAAACAAAGAGCAATATCGCTCTCCACGTCTTCCGCAATTTTTTTCTGCGTCAATTCGTGAAGGACGCGTGGCTCTGAGCGTGGGTCATCCACGCCGAATACATTCGCGCTATGTGATTGGCTGTTGTTTAATCCCCCTTGGGATCTATTGGTCTTAAAAATAACTCGAGACGAATTACCTATGGAATAGGGTGTGTATGGGGGATGCCTTCTCTGTCCCCTTTATCCTCTCTTGGTGAAGTGCTATCCCTTGTGTGCGTGTTATTACAGTTTTGGACTATTTTTGAGTGTGGATTCTGCGATTTTCGAATTTTTTTCATAGAAAATATTTGTCCAGTATGAGCAATTCATGATATAAGATACTTCTTGTAGGTTTTACATTGAGCGGAGTTTCAAATGAAACTTTGTGCAGTGTAACATGATGTATGGGGATGGTAAGCAGGTAGGTTGGCCATATTAATTTAAGTACTTTCTCTTGGGTTTCAATCCGTGTCCATCGAGCTGAAAATTTGTATTTTGTATTTTATTTTTTACTCCATCCTATAATACATTAGTTGTACAATAATACAATAGTTGTACAATATTAATAATACATTAGTTGTACAATATCAATTGGTACAAAGTTGCTTAAACTACGTGTACTTAATAATAATAATAATAATAATAATAAAAGAAGAAAATTAGAATGGAGAAGGGCACATTATAGTAAAACTAATCATGGCCCTTTAACAAGATTGACATTATTCTTTTGTAGTTTTGTTATTCATTAAAACACAAACACTCACGCACGCACACACACACGCACACAAGTCAATATTGAGCAAGATAATATTTTTTAAGTGCCTTTTTGAACAGCATTTTCGATGATTTATTGCGAATAGAAAGGGGGAGATCGTTCCAACAGTATTTTCCAATGACGGTAGGGCAAAACTTTCGAATATTAATTCTTGAGTGGGGAATGTGTAATTGCTGAGCAGATGCACTTCGTGTAAAATAATCATGTTGCTCAGATACAAGAAATAATGGAAAATTACACGGCTTATTATCAGAGACATAATCATATTGAGCTGAAAATTTACCAGAGATTCTACACATGAGTTGGCTCATAGGAGGCCCTTGATTGTAAGCTTTACTCCCGATTGTGTGTCGTACCAAAAGTAAAACGCAATGATTGTCATAGGGCTTATTTGAGTGAATCAAGTAATTACATTTTGATAAAGGCATAATTGAGATAACAGCTACTTTTGGAGCATTTAGTTGCCTGAACTGTTGCTAAGTAACTAGGGAAAACATTGCTGAATATTTCCAGCGAAAAAGCTAGTGGGCTTTCAATGACGAAAGAGGGAACTTTGAAAAAAACATGATCTGGGGCACCCAACGAGAATATAGTTCAAAACCATTTGAACATTGCATTGTTAAACGTATCTTAGTATTTAAACGGTAGATATGGGCATATTTTTATACCCTAAAAATTTTTCATCTGTTCGGATTTACTAGCTGAAAGTGATCCGAAAATTATAGGGATCAAAACTTAACTTTTCGAAAATTTCAGCCAGAAAAAAGGCTCCCGAAAATTCTATGTGACCTTTTTAGGGGAAAAATCCGTTAAAAATGGGCGATTATACCATTTTTTAGATGTTCGAAAATCCTAGGAGAGGCAGGCAAGCAAGAAATTTTACCACAAATGTTCCGAAAATTCTAGATCTCAAATCGTCTTCCGAACAGATATTTTCCGAAAATTGACGTTGGGTGCCCCTGACACCTGTTAAATAATAATATAAAATCTACAAACAGCAAACGATTAGGCAATCTTACCATGACTACCATCTGTTGACTGATACGTTTGGATTGTTGATTCCTTGAAGAAGATTGATGGCTTGGCCACACTGTACTGACGTTTGTTCTCTATCGTATAAGGCCTGTCTGTTGTCTTAGGATATGTGAAAATGTACTTTCCAGAAACCTTGCTACAAGCTAGAAAATATTCAAACAAATGGTATGGGTAGATTTGAAACAATACAAGACTGCTATAGATCAAAATTAACCCGCGAGAGACGAAAAGTTTTTAGAGACCAATTGATATTTGGAGCGATGTCTTGAATCGAAACCCACTCCGCTTTATGGGCTTACTCTGAAACTAGCAAAACCGTAAACAGCAGAGATACTTTACTGTCACGGTTGTTAGAAAAAAAGCTAATAAGGCGTGAGAGAACTAAGTACAGGAAACAGCAAAGGTATTTGGTTTCCGCAATTGTGATTTTGATTTTCGCTCGCCTGTCCTGAACGTTATGTGTTGGTCACAATCAACATTACTAAAAATTTTCAGGTGTTCACGCGGGTTTTCTGAGTTTGACATTATAAGGGATACCTCTATGGTCCCCTCACAGGGTCCGCATAAACAAGGTTAACTTATAGATTTTGATTCAAAGCAACCCCGAACGCCTTTGTTCCGGCAATTAATAAGTTTTCTGTTTCCAAAGCGATTGAAAGCTGAATTTTGATGGAATTTTAGTTACGTACTTCTGCTCCTAAAGGTTCTCTGAAATTTCTCCGGTATATTTTTTATATCAACAAAGGCCGATAACAGAAATTTAGCCAAAAAATATCCAGGAAAATGTGTGACTCGAGGCAGCCGCTATTTTCTTTAAACAGTAGGGTTTATTTAAGGGCTAATTTCGCAAAAAATACTAACCAGCTAGTAGAATTGGACTATTTCTTAGCTGAGTGACATCTGTTGTTCTTTGTAAAGTTTCGGAGCCATTACGTTAAGAACGAAAAAGCTGCGACGAAAAGTTCGTCATAGTTCAATGTAACCTGCATTAATGACGGAGCCATCTTAAATATTTTGAAGAAATTGAGTAATCCTCTTTATAAAAGCGTCAAATTTCATGTTTCGTTCTAATTCCACTCCAGAACTACTGGCAAACCTCTATAGGAAACCTCTACGAAGCGGTTCTCCGGGTAAACGTTACAAAATTCTAGTATATAGTGGAAAAATTGAAAAAAAAATTGAAAAACAGGGAACACTGTCGACTTCAAGAATGGGGTCGCCTTGACGTTTGTTCGAGTTTGGCTAAGTTATTAGTCATGAGCTTTCCAAAGAGGTCTGTGAAGTATTGAAAAGTTCTTATCACAGGGAGACGATTTACTTTAGTCCAAAGCGGACAGCATTTTGTTGGCCGTTGGCGAGCTGCATTGAGCGCTTCGTTTGCTAAATGGGTCGCACCCATGTAAGATTATGCGCCCAATCCCCCTTTCGTTCGTTGCCTATATCTATGCTTTTATGAGCTGTTTGAAGAAAGTGAACTTGCGACGTTGTGTCAAAACATCGGCACTGTTATCTAAGTTTGAACGGCGTTAGCGTCCGTTTAATGAGTTGACTTCTTAATGACGGTCAAATTTACGGTGAATATGGCAAGCAAATTCTGGGAATTTGATGAGTGACCGCTTAACAGAGGGCTTCTTTATTGAGGTTCTCAGTCAAATGAAACTCCCTAACAATTTAATTTGCAATTATTTAGTGTGATTTTACATACCAGTTTTTTTTTCACAAATGAACCCTGTGTAGCCAAATGTTTGTAAGCAATTGATGTTGTTGTATTCTCCGCCATTGTACATCTCAACACAATGCTCATTATCAAGGTTGTTTGGTTCTCCACGAGACCAACGCCAATATCCTGTTTCATTTGTTCTCAGGTTTATACAGGCTTTTGTATCATTTGCCCAGCACCATTTTTGCGAAAAGTACCGTAAGCCGATGAACCATCGTGTTTTTTGAAGTGCTCCCTTTTGCTCTCTGTTGGTTGTCATGCTTTTAAAATACAACCATTCCCCCTCGGTTTGCATGGAGACCAGACCATCATAGCTTCTTCTCTTGCAGTATTGCTCGGCGTCTTCCCAGTTCTTATTTTTGGAATAAAAGTGGTACTCGGAGCAGACGTGTTCAACGTTTTCTGAATGCACTGTAAAGGGAGGGAAAATGAGAATTGACATATTCAACTAATAAGTACATATATATAAGCGCAGTAGAAGGCTCCAAGACAGTAGGGAAAGCAGATCGAGAAGAGTTGCACGAAAACCGCTTGCCCGGGGCTGGGGAGAGATGGAGACAGTGCTTAAGTGGTCAATTTGCAACCTCGTTCCCAGGGTTCTCTCCTACCCGTCCCTACGGGGCGCTACAACATTCACTGTTTCGACGTTATGGCAATTTTTCCAAAATAATGCGCACTATATACATACCTCCATGACAACTACATTTTAGTTTGAATTTATCGCATCCTTTGAATGTAAAACATTGAAAATACTCACACTGAAATGTACTTGTCATGGATATATTTATTGTCCGCATTAATTTGGAAAAATTAGCATAACGTCAAAACAGTGAATGTAAATTGTAGCGTGGATTTTTGACCGGTAAGTAGGATAGGTTTGTCTTGAAATTTTAAAGTGTTGCATTGAATTAATCTTAATGACATTATTCTATACATTATGAACATTATGTGAAGAGATTTTAAAGAAATTCGTTCCAGTCGTTTCAGAGATATACATTCTTTTTTGTTACAAAAAAGCGCTAATAGTCCAAATTTTGAATGAAGCTGCACTTACACAGGTGGTGAGAAAACGGGTTAGTTTTCAAGATCGCAAGAACGAAAATACACCAAAATTTCCTAGCCTCGAAATATGACATTAAGCAGCATTCTGACGCTACTGAAGAATAATTTGAGTCATTTATAACGTTTTTATTAAATAATTTATCACGGCTGTTGAAAATTTAAGGTTTGAAATATATTCTCGTTTTAGACGAATTCAAACATACAGAATTTTTTACTTCTTGCGGAGGTTATTTGCTAAATACCAAACTTTAAGTTCCTGGTGTTGGATTTTCAGTAGCTGGTCGAGATAGCGCAAAATTAGGCGTTTATCTTTTTCACAGTTTTTGTTTATTGTTGTCATAGTAATATCGATTTTACTAAAACCTACCTTTTGACAAATTTCAATCTACACACCATGGGGCCCAGTTCTCGGCCACTTTTTGTGCAACGTTTATTTCTCGAGCCACAAATGAATCTGAATAAAAGCAATTGTTTCCAAAGGTAGCTTGATTCCTTGTCTTTCTTCCTGCCGGGTTTTGAGTTTACAGCTACTCTATACTGTGAGCACGTCGGGGTGACGCGAAGGTAGGTGAATTTGGTTTCCCCGAAAACGTGTTTGCTTACGGCTACTCGAATTACATGGTTTAATTCAAATTTATATTTTATCTGTATAGAGGGCCCAAATGAGCCAATTCTTGGCATAAAGAACGTAGAGCGATGAAGCTATCTGTTAAATGTAAACTTTTCTTGGCCTGTTTTATTCTTTGACCTAAATTCCCTCCTCAATACTTCCTTAGTACTTTTGCGTATTTGCCTATTCTCGGCCACCGTGCTCGCCGTCAACTCTAAAAAGCGCGCATAGCTTTGAATGGAGTTTTTTGATGGCAGAGGGACCGAAATTTTAAATACAATTTCATTCGTCGTGGCAAGAATGAAAGAAAGAAGTGTTCTGACAGTAGATATGAATTAAAACTATGAGCAAGTGAACAACAAATGGCGGAAAAACGAAGTGTAGTGGCGGTTTGCGCTGTGGCTTGCTATTGTCACTTTTTATGACGCGAAGCCTCCGCCGAGCAAAGGTAGTTAGTTGTTCAGTCGACGAATTTGATACCCGAATTCGACTCCGGTAAGGCGCTTTACCCCACTTTTTTTCTTTCTTTAATCAATCATTATCCAGGGAAATCCAATTTAGCAGAGCTAGTTGAAACGTTGGCAGAAGTTGACCTCGGCTAAAAGGGATACCAGGTGTAGCAGGCCCGGCGAATTTTAAGTCCCAAATATGGGCAGACGGCTAACTTGAAATCGCTAAGCGCAGACCGCGTTTTGCTGTTTGCGGTAAAGTGGCCAAACCTCGATTTTAAGGTCTCTTATAACGTTTTATTTTTAAGGGAGATGTCTCTTTTAGTGTGCGTGACATAAAAATCTTCTAAAAGGGTTTAAAAAGGACTTTTTTATTCCACTTAGAATACAGTGGAACCCAGTTAATACGACCTCTGTTAGGTCATAAAATCCTGGTCGTAATAACGAGGTGGTCGCATTAACGGGGTCTTCAAAATAATAAAATTACTCAATGGTTTTTACGTTTGGTTTGAAAGAATATGGCCGTAATAACGAGGTGGTCTTATAAACAGGGTGGTCGTAAGGCGGGGTTCCACTGTACGATTAAAGCTCTTTATAGCTAGTAAGCCAGGTTTTTTTTAGGCTCATTGTTTCACACAGTTGCCTATAAAACTAAACAAGCTATATAGGAGTGAGTAAGCTCGTGCCCATCTTGTTTAGTGCAGCGCTACCCCCTTGAAAAGACCAATAAAGCATGAAAGGGTGTATAACGGTGTGAACGCTTTAAATTATTACAGTTTTTCTCTTTTTTTGTGTGTGGATTCTGAGAGTTAAAGGTTATTATAGAAAATATTTACCCGGTATGAGCAATTCATGATTTAGGATATTTCGTGTAGCTCTTACTTTGAGCGCAGTTTCCTATGTATAGTTTGTGCAGTGTAACATATATGATGTATGGGGATAGTAAGCAGGTAGGTTGGCCATGTTAATTAAAATACTTTCTTTCGTGGTTCAATCCGTGTCCTTTGAGCTTTTTATTCATCAGAGATTCTACATATGAATTGGCCCTTGATTGCAAGCTTTACTCCCGATTGTTTGCCGCACCAAAAGTAAAACACTGTAATGATTGTCCTTGCGCCCTCTTATTTTAGTAAATCAAGTAATTGTATTTGGATGAAGGCATGATTAAGATAACAGCTGCTTTTGAAGCATTTAGTGTCCTGAACTGTTGTTAAGTAACTACGAAAAATATTGCTGAATATTTCTAGCGAAAAACGAAGTGAGCTTTCTTTGACGAAGGAGGAAACTTTGAAAAGAACATGAGCTGCTGTGTTTTAATCCTGGTAATAGAGAATCTATAAACTCTAAAAGGAAAGGCAAGCTTACCATGACTACCATCTGTCGACTGATACGGTTGGATTGTTGTTTCCGTGAAGAAGATCGATGGCTTGGTCACACTGCTCTGACGTTTGTTCTCTCTCGTAATAGGCCTGTCTGTTGTCCGAGGATTTCTGATGAAAAAGTACTTTCCGGAGACCTTGCTACAAGCTAGAAAATATTCACACAAATGGTATAGGTAGATTTGAAACAATACAAGACTGCAATAGATAAAAATCAACCTGCGAGAGACGAAAAGTATTTAGAGACTAATGAATATTTGGAGCGATATCTTGAATCGAAAATCGCTTTATGGGATTACTGAGAAAATCGCAAAACCCTGAACACCAGATATATTTATTGAATGTTATTGTGTTGCTGGGAAAGAGCTAATAAGGCGTGAGAAAGCTAAACCTTAATAGCAACGATATTTAGTTTGTGATTTTGACTTTTCCTCGCATGTCTTGAACATTATTGTGTTGTTCACAATCAACATTACCGAAATTTTTCTGGTTTTCATGCGGGTTTTCGGAGTTTGACATCAATAGGGATACCTCTATGGTCCCCTCACAGTTACGGCATAAACGGGGCACGACTGAATATTCAAAGTATCTCTGAAACGCCGTTGTTCCGGCAACAGGGGCACCCAGCGACTGTTTTCTGTGAAATATCTGTTCGGAGAAGCAAATATTGCCTAGAATTTTCTATAATTTGAGGACAGCTAAAAATCTCTAGATAACCGTTTCACTATTGTACAATTTTCGAAGCTTATCTAATAAATTACGTACGATTTTCTGAAGTTTAATTTTTACATTTCACTTTCCCAAGTTAGACTATTTTTCGTAGAGAAAAGGAAACCTAAAATTTTCGGACTCAAAAATGCAATGGCGAGAGAAAACAGAAAATGTCTCACTTTCGTAATACGGCAAATTGCACCGTAAATTTTCGGGAAAATAATATTCAAGCCCTTGTAATTTCCAAAAGAGTCAAACTCCCCTAGGATGACCGAACAGATACATATTTTATAGCGCGGCTTAGAATGCATTTCTAGGAATCTAGAAGTACTCTGGATAGCCTAAAAAGTGTTATCAATGTATTTAGGAGAACCTACGTTGGGTGCTGCTGCGGCAATTAATAAGTTTTGCGATTCCACCGCAATTGAAAGCTGAATTTTGATGGAATTTTAGTTACGGACTTCTGCTCCAAAAATTTCCCAGGTTTATCAATTAAATCAATAACAGCCGATACCAGAAATTTCAGTCAGAAATATTAGCAAATGTTTTACTAGACGCGATTTTCTTTAAACAGTAGGGTTTACTTAAGCGCTAATTTCGCAAAGAATATTTACCAGCTATGAATCGGAATATTTCATATTATTGCTGAATGATATATGTTGTTCTTTGCAAAGTTTTCATCGCGTTAAAAACGAAAGCTATCACGAAAAGTTTGTCATAGGTCAATGCGGCTATATTAATGACGGAGCCATCTTAAAATATTTTGAGCTAATTAACTAATTCCGCATTATAAAAGCGTCAAATTTCGTGTCTCGATCTAACTGGCCACTCCATAACTACAACGAAGAAACCTCTACGAAGCGTTTACTCGGGTAAACGTTATAGAATTCTGTATATAAAGTTAAAAATTGCAATAAAATGAAAAAATTAACAACAACAACAAAAATAGTCAACACTGTTGATGTAAAGAATGGGCTCGCGTTGACGTTTGTTCGAAGTTGGCTAATTTATTTGTCATGAGCTTTCCAAAGAGGTCTATATGAAGAATTGAAAAGTGCATACCAGAGGGATACGAGTTACTTTAGTCCAAACCGAACAGGTCTTTGTCGGGTTGGCGGGCTGCACTGTAAACTGGTCATACAAAATTAATAAAAGGTTGTCACACATATGCGCCTTGTTTACTAAGCGGATCGCACCATGTGGAAATATCCGTCCAACACAGCTTTCGCTCGTTGCCTATATCTAAGTTTTTATGAGCTGTTTGAAGAGAGTGGGCATGGGACGTTGTGTTAAAACATCGCACTGTTATCTAAGTGTGAACGTGATTTCTCCATAGAGGTCATATTTACAGTGAATATCATGGGAAGCAATTCTTGGAATATGATGAGTGACCTCTAAACAGAGGGCTTCTCTATTGAGGTTCTCAGTCAAACAAAACTCTCTAAGAATTTAATTTGCTATGGAAAGTTATTTAGTGTGACTTCAGGGACCTATCGTTTATTATGTCCCTGGGGGGGGTTGGGGGTTTTCAGAAAAGTGTGGTGTATGAAAATTGTACCCCCCTCTTGGCCACAAGAATTTTTAGAATACACCCCCCCCACCCCCACCTTTCCTAGACTAAGGGTGCTTACCATTTGACAGAAACTTTCGGAAATTCCAGATGGAAGGTAAATGGTAAGGTCACTTTTCGGAAATTCCAACCGAAAATTGAGGAGTACGTTTTGAGGTAGTCCGTTCATTCCGGTTCGTACAAACCCAACGGAATGTTGCTCACCATTAACCAATTTCTCGGTTCCTTCTCGGTTCTAGACTCACGCTAAACAAATTCGTCCTTTTTTTGGATTCATACCGTAACGGATGTAGCAATTCTGCGGTAAACTGGTATATCGCTTACCATTATGCTTTCGACTCCCCGAACAGATTTTTCTGTCAAATGGTAAGCACTTCAAGTTTTAAGATGACTCGATTTTTCTTTGGACGTTGACTTCATATTAAAGCTAGATGGGGTTCTGGTAGTCTGGTTAGGTAAAAATAGTTGATAGGGTCCTGGGACAATACCAAATCAAGTAAAGATGCACATCAGGTGGGGCTCAGCTGGCATGAGAAACGGTGTGAAGTCCGAGAAAAGTCAACGAAGGGAAGGCATTTTAGATCTGCACTCCAGTGTCTTGATAATAATGAAATTCTGTTATTGCTGGGGTCTATTCTGCAGAGGTCAAAGCAAGGGACGCAGACGAATTGTACAGTTCGAGGTCTGAGAGCAGTGCAATAACATCTGATGCATGGATATGGATACTTACATTTGGAAGAAGCCTACAATCTATATTCTTCATTCAGTGAATTTTCCTGTCCAAATAAACAAGCCTTCAGAGATGAATTGCCTGATCCTCATCACGGTTTGCCTGTCTACAAAGAGTCGTCAGCGCGACTTTTTGGTTCAGTAATGAAGGAAAAGTGTTTTTTTTGTTTCAATTATATGTTTTAACAACTACAACATATAATGTTAATCCTTTGTCTTAAAATTTCGACCCCACTCACACTTTGTACATTTTCAAAACTGGACACCCCCACCAAATTGACCTTTTTTAAAAATTGTACCCCCCACCAAAAGCTCCGCTCCCCCTGGGACGTAATAAACGATGGGTCCGTTACATACCAACGTTTTTTTCACAAATGAGCCCTATGTAGTTATAACTTCTTCTGCAATTGATGTTGTTGTATTTTCCGTCGTGGTGCATCTCAACACAATGCTCATTATCAAGGTTGTTTGGTTCTCCACGAGACCAACGCCAATAATATCCTGTTTCATTTGTTCTCAGGTTTATACAGGCTTTTGTATCATTTGCCCAGCACCATTTTTGCGAAAAGTACCTTAAGCCAATGAACCATCGTCCTTTTTTAAGTGCTCTCTGTTGCTCTTGTGAAAGGTCTGGTGTAATGTTGGTTGCAATGTTTTTAAAATACATCCATTCCCCATCGGTTTGCATGGAGACCAGACCATCATAGTTTCTTCTCTTACAGTATTGCTCGGCGTCTTCCCAGTTACCATGTTCGGAATCAAAGTGGTACTCGGAGCAGACGTGTTCAACGTTTTCTGAATGGACTGTAAAGGGAGGGAAAATGAGAATTGACATATTTAACTAAGTACCTATATGCGCAGTAGAAGGCCCCAAGACAATAGGGAAAGCAGATCGAGAAGAGCTGCACGAAAACTGCGTGCCCTGGGCTGGAGAGAGATGAAGACTTGCTCACTTTTTCGCTGCTCGCCCGCTTTTTTCGCTCGCCTGCACTGCCAGAGAGACTGGCAAAGGCTACAAAGGAAGCTTAACCTGCTACATTTTCTTGAGGTAAGATTCCGGATGTCTTTATGTCAGTATGACTATCTTGGAAACGTTTTAGTGCAGATATGCTTAAGTGGTCAATTTGCAACCTCGTTCCTAGGGTTCTCTCCTGAATGTTGTAGCGCTACGTAGGGACGGGTACTGTTTCGACGTTATGCTAATTTTTCCAAAATAATTCGCACTATACATACCGCCATGACAAGTACATTTTAGTTTGAATTTATCGCGTCTTTTTAATGTAAAGCATTGACAATACTCACACTGAAATGTACTAGTCATGGATATACGGTATTGTCCGCATTAATTTGAAAAAATTAGCATAACGTCAAAACAGTAAATGTTGTAGCGCGGATTTTTGACCGGTAATTAGGATAGGTTTGTCTTGACATTTTAAAGTGTTGCAGTGAATAAATCTTAATGAAAGTTTCAGACATTATTATATACATTATGAGGATTATGTGAAGAGATTTTAAAAAATTCGTTCGAGTCTTTACAAAAAGCGCTAACAGTTCAAATTTTGAATGAAGTTGCATTTAGACAGGTGGCGAGAAAATGGGTTAGTTTTCAAGATCGCAAGAACGAAAATACACCAAAATTTCCTAGCACCGAAATATGATATTAAGCAGCATTCTGACGCTACTTAAAAACAATTGGAGTCAGTTATAACGTTTTCATTAAATAATCTATCACGGTATTGAAAATTTAAGGTTTGAAATATATTTTCGTTTTAGTCGAATTCAAACATACAGAATTTTTTACTTCTTACGGACCGAGGTTATTTAATAAACACCAAACTTTAAGTTCCTAGTGTTGGATTTTCAGTAGCTGGTCTAGATCACACAAAATTATGCGTTTATCAAGTTCAAAGTTTTTTGTTTATTGTTGTCATAGTAATATCGATTTTACTGAAACCTGCTGGATAGAATTTTATCTAGTGAATTAAGCGCTATTCAACGTATGAACAATCTAGGCCAAGTATATATGTACAGAGGGTTTTGGATGAACCTAACGTAATGGGAACGTTTTCTGTCACAAGCAGTCTTTTGGGGCCTCTTTCATTCCAAAGTGTTCAAAAACACTTTAGAATGTCGTACTTGAGTTATCCAGGCCGTAACTGGAATGGTTGAGTGGAAGCAACAGTTTATGGAAGCCAGTAGCT